TGGGGTTTCCATGAGACAGCAGCTAAAATTAGTTTGAAAAAAAAAAAAAAAAATCTTGGTGGAGGAAAGGATGAAAACCAACCAGCCTGGCTGGTATCAGTGGCTGAGTCAGGAAGAAAGTCCTGCTTTCCTCTCTGCCATTCCTCGTTGCAGAACCATGTTGAAATCTTTAAACATTGGGCAACTTTTAACCATCAGGCAAATAGGCCTCCACAGCAGTATGTCACACAGAAAACTGCAGGCACATCATGTGTCCCTTGACTTAAAGCACATCAGAAAGATCAACAGAGCTGCCTGGTCATGGTGTAAAATTCACTTCCAATTTTATGTGAAGAATCATTTTTATTCCTCTTAAGCTAGGAAGCTGTTACCATGAGGAAACCTTGGGAAAAAGCTATGAAAGGCAGCACCAGTTACAGTATTTTGTCCAGAGGTGATGAAGCATAGGTGCTCCCACTCCCATACAGCCATGTCAGTTGTTTCACCCTAATTCCTCAGCTCCCAGAAGGTCTTTTCCCCTTGGTTCCTCCTGCTCCTTCTGCAGTCAACCACCACAGCTGATCCTCAGATGCTTTTAACGCAAATCTAAGAATAGTTTCAAGTGGAAATTTAGAAAAAAATAGCAAGGAGAATCTCCTGGAATAAAAATCTCCCTGTTGAGTTGACAAGGCTTGTAGTAATGTGAGGAAATTAGCTCCTCAGTTTAGTTGTGCTTTGAGTAGGGCCTGTCAAATTCTATTAAAAATTATCTCATAATTTTCCCTCCACCAGCCCTTTTATACTAAAAAAAGTTTTCAAATGGAAGTTTGTTGTGGAAAGATGTTTTTCTCAAAAATAATAAACTTTTTGATAGAGAAATTTCTTTGTTTTGTTGTTGGCCAGAAAGCTTAAATTTTTTTCTTTGGTTTTGACAAAAGCTCAACATTTTTATCAACAAAATGCTGCCATTATTCCTCTTATGTTTTTCTTTGAGTTGGGTGCAGTTAGAGGTTCTCCCCAAATAATAGTTATGGCAACAATGATGACACCACAAGGTAAAGTCTGCCCATTTCATGAATGAGCCCAATTTTTATTTCTCTTCATCACAAAAGTCATCCCACATTTGTTGTACACACTGTTGGTTGCTGTGTTACGGGACATATCACCATGTACCAGATGCTTTATTCTTGCAGAAGCATTTCTAATGGAGATGGAAGCTTCTGTTAGCTGAATTTTAGAACAACAGCAAAAAATAATAATACAAAACCAAAATATCATCTTCAGCTGCATAGCAAATATGGATCAAAAATTTAACACCGTATCAGATCACGAGCGTAAATATACCTCACCATAAATAAAATTAATTGTACAAAATAACTCAAGCAGCTTTTCATACAAATATGGTACATTTGACAAGAGTTTTTGAGAATATTTTCTTGGGTTTTTTACACCTTCAGTTCTTTTTTCTTTTGTTCTCAAACACACATGAACCTACTGGACTGGAGTAATGCAGGAGAAAAAGGACTAACATGTTGTTCAATGCTAATAAGTGCTGTCAGAGTTTAAAAGGAAAACTATTGAAGTGCTGAGCTTCAACTAGTTTGCTTCCCCTTCCTATTGTATCATTGAAAGTCAAGTGCAGCATCATCTACGAAAGGCACGTGCAGTGCCAATACTCACATTTTATAATGTCAAAGCCGGAGGGAACATTCAAATAACCTAGTCTGACTTCATTCATGACACAGGCCATCATTCCTCCCCCTTGTAATTCCTGTATCGAGCCAACAACTTGTCTTTGAAGTAGACATTCCAAATGGTGGCGGGCAAATCCCAGGGAGTTTGCAGACTACTTCAGAGTAAGCAGGAAAATGTAGGCAAAAAAGCAAGTCCATAGTCAGTGGACTTAAAAATATCCAGACAGGGGTCCACATTTCCCTAGGAAAAAAAATTAGGGGTCTGCAGATTGTAAAAGGCTGAAAATTACAGGATTAGAGCCTATCTGCAAGGAAGACTTCCAAACTTGGCAGAAAGTCTGCCTGACCCCGTGGAAACCTGTTACTATTTAGCCCTACTGTTACAAATTTGCTCCCCCTTTCCATTAACAATTATGATATTAAAAAAAAGGACAGGATGAAAAAAAATTCAATTTTCAGTGAGTTTTTTAAAGACCTAACCCTGGACCTCTTTCTCATACACAGTTAAGGAAGGTTACGGAAATGAAGCTAAAGACTATTTGCATCCTTTAGATAATAAAAGGACAGTAACATCAAATCTCAGAAATTAAGACCATAAGATTATTCCTAGCTGGTATCTCATACTACTTGAGCAACAAGGCAAAGCATCTGCATACACTCTACAGTCAAAAACACTTTACATTTTGTTCATGCATTTTGGACATTTTGCTCAAAACATGTAACCCCTCGAAATCTGAAGGGATTTTACATTTTTCCCAGCAAATCTGAGGCAAACAAATAGATTTCATCTACCTGTTCTTTCAAGTACACGCACCTGTGTTTTGCAGGGTTTCAGAGAATTATTATGGCAAAACTACAGCAAAAGAATGCAAAGTGATATTCATGTTTAGGTAAAATATCTCATGACTCACTCCAGACCTAAAAAGATGAAAACAGGCATTTAAATTCACCTTACTATATCCTATTTTGTCTAGGTAGCTGAGACTGGTCTTTGTGGACCAGTTCATCCTTTTGTAGTAACTTCTTGCTCATGCTGGTTTCTGTGAAGACTCCAACATCCCATAACAAGTCAGATGCAGTAGGACATTTAATTTGTGCTGTGCCCAGAGGTGGCTCTGAGAGCCAGACAGGAACTTGTGCCACCTTTTCAGCAACACTTTCATACCAAAATAACAAGCACTTACTATTTAGATCAGGAAAAATAGGATCTTGGTTGGATCTATCTTCCTCATATCTTGTTTTCCTCAAAAAATAAAGTGCTTGATTCTCCTCTTCCTTTTAAAAATATATATCTGTAGATACCCTCACTCCAGTACTGTAGAAGTGTTGGAAGATGATGGAAAACCAGAACTGACATCCTTGGTGGAAGAGTAAATAGAAAGCAAGAGCTGTGCGGTGTCATTGAGTCCCAGATGCTCTTCTGCTGCTCTTCCTCACGACGTGGAGGAAACAATTTGCCTTGCTGGGCTGGATCCTTCCCTGCCACTCAAAGACTTCCTGAGATTTCATTTTACTTTCAGATTTCTGTGCTGCACAATTTCCTCCCTGCAGTTTAAATGTCTGTCTCGGTAATTAAAGGAAACTCAAGGAGTGAAAATGTCCAGCACTTTTAACGTGTGGGGTATTTATTGATTATCAAGAGAGTAGGTGGTGGGCATCTGAGAGAACAAATTCATCCAACTCAGCAAGATCTCCTCTTGCTAACAGTAGTTGCTAGCTGTTGTTTCCTAAGACAAAATACTCCAGCTGGGACACTTCTACTAATTAATTGTATGTTCCCTCTGAAAGAATAAATGCCCAGGCTCTGCCTTTTTAACATCTGTAATAGCATGCAGTTTACAAGGCATGATGAAATGCATGAAAGGAATAGATATTATCACATCTGTATACCATAACAGCAATTATCTGCTGTGACCTGACTAAAGCTGAGAAATTAAAATATTACCAGTGGTGAGGCTAGCATCATTTTCTCTTGGAGAATGTGGTTTGATCTCCTTTACCTTCAAGCTTTGTATCACTTCAATGACACTACTGAGGGGAAGCAGGGAAGACTATGAGTTATGAAATCCTCCTCAAAGTTCCTACTGAATTTGTTCTCAATATCCAGGGATCATAGATTAGCTGAGTGGGAAAAGGAAACAGACTCCAGTGTTCCCTCTGAATGCCTTTAAACCTGGAAAATTCTGGGTATTTTTTTAAAGGTTATCCTGTATTTCACCTCTTCTTAACAATCACATCATTTCTGAGTGCTGGATCCTAAGCTCTGCTGAATAGTCACCATCCGCTGAAGAAAGATACTTGGTTGCTGTGCCACTAGGAATTTGTCTAAAACAAGGGAAGAGAGCATCCCAGAACATACACAAATTACAGACCCCAGCTCTCATCCTTGGCTGAAGAGCAAAGATCACGTATGTTCAAGGTAACTACACTTGCCTTCTGTCAGGACCAGTGATTATTTCCACCCAAATTAATATGTTCAACACGTGAATGCAGCCTTTTCCATAGTCCATAAGAAATCTTGTTTAGTCCATGGAAGATGTGTCTTCAGGGGAGAACCCTTTGCATTAAAATAAATGGATGTCCCATAGCAGGGGAAAAGAGCATTTTCTCTTTCCCCAGCTCTCTGAAGTGCTGAGGAGTTATTTGGTGACTCCATCATTGCTATTCTGAAACCCACATGCCAAAGCTCCCTTTAACAGATGCTAGAAAGGCCGATGAAATGGCAGAGAGCAGGAAGGTAGCCCCAGCCTGGGGCATGCAGCCATCCAAGACCAGCCCAGCACAGCTCCTCTACACCCACCACTCGATCCTCAGGGTGCTGCTATGGGTGACATCCTGACTTTTTCCCCACAAACAGTGAATCAGGGGCTTGTCTTCAGACCCTTGGGCTCCATGGCTGGTGGCATGTCATTGGAGGGGTTGATTTGCCCCATTGCTTCTGTGGTGAGAGTCGGCTTTTGGTGCTGCAGACGTATGGAGCTCTTCTGCCAGGACGCCCACGTTTGGAGCTGACATATGGCTTCAGAGAGATGTGCTTGATTGGATGAATCACAGGGAAAAAACAGACCACTTCATGGAAGAAAAGCACATTTCGCCCACCCACCCAACCCACCCCCAAGTCTGAAAGCTACAAGTAAAACCGATGACAGGGATGGTACAGAAGAACATGCACTCAAACAGGGCTGATGGGAAGATGTGTCCTCGTGTGTAGTAGGCATACCCAGTCTTACTTTGTTGCCAGGTCTCATGCCATCGAGTTTACCCCTCCCAGCTGTTCTGGGTTCAGTCCCGTCTCCCTTCCCAACCCATGCGGGGTCAGTGTCCACACTAGCAGGTGGTGGCCAGCGACTGGTGGATTGGGGGCTGGAAGCAGCGAACATGCTCCACCGTGGAACTATCTGTTTCCACCGACTTCATGTACTTGTTCAGGATGGCAAAAATCTCGTTGTTCAGGATCTGATACTTCCTGATCCTGTCAGCCATCTTCTTCAAGGGCTGGAAGGATGGTGAAGGAGAAAAACAGCAGATGAAGAAAGTCTTATGTCATCTGACCAGCTAGAAAGTACCAATAAATCTGCCCTGCTGCTGAGAAACCTCTGCTAAAGTGAAGCAGCTGTTACCTGTTACTGTTCCACTTAGCACCTCCCAGGGACCAGTGACTCACTTTGTTATAAGGTTTGATGACTCAAGACAGAGTATTAACAAGGTCAGTGAGTGGTCCTAAGATAACTGATCTAAAGTCTAGACTCCCAACTGATTATTGAGAAAGCCACTGAGATCACAGGATGGTTGCTGGAAATACCAGCTTCTCTGCTTCAGCTTCCCAACCCTAGGAGGAAGGGAAAAGCTTTGGGAGAAAAAAGATTTGATTGTTAAGCCAATTAAAACCTTGGCCTCTCTGCTGAGACTGCAGATAGAAATCTCACAGCGAGTGTGCCCACTTTGAATAAGGTTAACAATGCACATGGTTGTCATTTATGAGTTTGAACAAGGCAAGGCAGAAAACAGAGAACTGTGCTGCTTTAGGTCTTTTGGGACCTGAAGGGTGACCTTCAACTTACCACGTTTTTTATTATTTCATCCTTCCCGTCCTGCCTCTGCACCTTCAGCAGGTGGTAGCAGAAGTCAAAGAGGTCAAAGCGCCGTTGCTGTCCAAGGAGAACAATGATAGAGCAACCTGCCCAGTTCAGACCATCTCCAAAGCACTGCCTGGATGGAGGACAGGGTGATGGGGTGGGGCGAGATGACAAGATAGAGTTAGATAAGAGAAGTCCTACCATGGCACCAGGAACTTTCCTTGGTGAATTCCTGGGGAAATCAATTTCAGTCCTACTTCTAGAAAGTGGGTATACATCTAGAGAAATGGAGATACACGGAATTACTGCAGGGTGCATCACAGGGTATGACAGATGAGGACCTAGCCTCTGACTTGGGTTGTTGGCCCATCTACCCATCTCCTTCTGCATGTCACCTCCCTTTACATTGCTCTTTTCCCCAGCTGTTCAAACCTCTCTGGGCATCTCTTTATGTCCATGCACAACACAGTCCTTTCATCAAGGACCCATGTTCCCCCTCTGCCTCTGCACTGGCTGAGGCTGTTGCTGCAGCTGAGGGCATCCCGGGGGCCACTAACTGCAGAACTGGCTGATGGACACTCACTCTGCAGTGAACTCGTTGGTGCCCACGGGGATGCAGTACACAAACTGCATGGCACTCCAGAGCCGGTGAAACTCCACGCACTCGTCCACGTGCATGACCCCGTTCGTCGGGGGTGGCCCGCGCCAGATCGGGTCCTGCAGATAGCTCCTAATTCGGGTCAGGATCACTTCGAACATGGACAGACCACAGCATAACCGCTCCTTGGTCAGCAAGTCACCCTCCCGGGCGATGGCTATTTGCTGAGGAGGAGGAGGACAGCCAAAGAAAGAGAAGTGACAATGTAATACAGACAGACCCTCTCACTGGACTCAATGCTTCCCGGTCTCCCCGGCTCTTTCAAAGTTAACACACATCCCCTGCAAGGTCCAACCTTACCTCTGATGGCTGCTCCCGTGGCACTCCCCGCCAGAGAATTCTCATCCCTCAAATGGAAGAACACTTAATTTTGTGCTTAATTATATTTCACCAACCTAAGTATCTTTTGAAATAACTACGTACATCAGAAAACAAAAGTTGAAGGCAAAGATCTGATCAGAAATACTGATCCTGAATTCTCCTAGCACGCTGTTCTGTTCTGTTAGTGCTACTCAGCGTTGCTGGGTTTAATTTCATGATCTGTGCAGATTATGGAAATAAAGCAGGAGAGAACAGGGACATTTTGCTTCCCAAGACATTGCCATCATCTCTTTAAGATGTATGTAGCCTATGGCTTTCTTGATTTCTTTTGTAGTTAAGGTTAAAAAGCTCTGAGGAAGATGAGAAGCCACCAGAACCTTAATACTGGAAAACCTATGGTTTATAAGAAAGTCAAATAATATATTTTTTTTTCCAGATGTGGAAGCGTTACCTGTGTGGAGAATTTCTGTGACATCCCCACTCAGATTTACATGTACAAATGTGGAATGGCTCCATTAAATAGAGTTCATTTAGCTTTTACACTAGATGAAAATTAAAATAATTTACTTAGTTTCAGCCCCACTGATCCCCCAGAGAAAAAAGGGGGATTTTAAAGAAGGAAGCAGGGCCTCCCCCTGGTACAAAAGCACTGACCCCACTAAGCGGGGCTGCGGTGAGAGCGTGGAGTTTGTTTGCTGCCCTGATATCCTCTTAGCTGCCCCATTTCCAGCAGTATTACTGACTTATTTTTGCAATGCTGCCAAAAATAACAGGGGAAGCGGGAGCTGAGTGCTGTTAGAGCCGTGCCCGTGGCTGTGGGAGGCTCCAGCTCTGCCATGCTCACCCCAGAGCAGCTGCCATGGAGCCCTGGCCCCACAAGGCAGAGCCTTTGACCTCTCTCACCACTTTGGCAGAGGCATGCAGAGCAAGCATGACATTTACTGACCCTCAGGATAGGACTTCCTGGAGCTTTAAGTAGTTTTTAAGCATTTGCTCCATTTCCAGCTGTCCCTGTAATGCTTATAAAAAACATCATCCTGATCAGAATCACAGTGGGGACTCAGAGCATCTGGTACAACCAGCAGGCACATATCCCAGCCAGATGTTAAAGAACATGAATTATGCTTGGTTTACTTGGGTCATTTTTATTCCACTCTAAGAAAACATGTATGTGCTTGCACATCCCCTTTCCTATTAGTTTATGCTGGCAGTAACCTAGAGCATTTTTAGTTTGGTGGCTATTGAAATTAGATATATTACAATTCCTGCTTGTGCCATAATTTCAAGGACGTTCTGGGAACATCAGACTAATTAATGTTCAACTAATAGCAAATATCAAGGGAAAGCTGTATTGCTGTGCAGAGGCCAGATTGGGTCTGGGATCCCTAGATTTGTTAAAGGCAGGAATAATATCACCAGTTTCATGGCACGCACTTGCATATGTTTGCTTAGCAAGTAAAGATTTATTTTATCCAGCTTGTTTTTTATAGCTAAAGGCTGTACACTTTCTCTTTCCTCACCTGCTCCAAACTCTTATCAGTGCAGATTAGTATCTACACACACTAGTCTATGATGGCAAAATGGGGACACAGCAGAAGTAAAGCTATTTCACATATGCATTAGGTGTTAGCATTGCTGTTTGCTAAGATATAGTGATAGAACAGGTACTTTTGAGAACAAACTAGTCCAGTGATCTTAGTATATAATTTCTAAGGAAATCTTAATCTAGAAAGGCATGTATCTGGCTTCTGGCTGTGGTGCCACTCATTTACACACATTCACAGACAGAATTTAGTTCTAAATTTTATCACCCTAAGACCAGTCCTTGACACAGCACTACTACCGTTGGGTAGTTATGTCATATGGTGAAGGCAGCTGGAGAGCTGTTAGTCTTGTGGCCAGGTCTGCCTCAGAGTCTTGGGTCCCACTGATTTCTAAGATCAGGAGAGGAAGGGTGCTTTCAAGATAAATGGTGAAATGATACCACCGTGCTGGCTCAACTACTCCCTCTGTCTTCAAAAGGAAAGGTTCCCATTACTTCCAGTGAAAAAATCAGACTGACCAAGCACTTTTGAAAATCCCTTTCTAAATATACCTATGATCAGCATTAAAAGGGAGAGGATTCCTTTAAGTGAACCACTTTGACCCTCCCTGATTCTTTACAAATCACCTATCAAACAGCTGCTTCTGGATTCCCAGTGCAAAACAATTATTTACAACAATCACTGACAGTTTTCCTGCCATTGCACAAATTCAGTTTTGCCATACCTCTTTTACAGCCTGTTAACTGGCAGGCTTGCAAGAACCATACCCAAAGCCTGCAAAGAATGATAGAGCCCCACCAACTACAGCAGCCTCTGGCTCAGCCCCTTCCAGCATGTAATTATATAAAATACACAGGGCCACTTTTTGTGAGAGGCATCTAACAGGCAACTTCTGCTCAGATTCTGGACAATTGCTAAAAGGCACTTATGTGTTCTGCAGGAAAAAAAAATCCTTTATGGCCTGTGTCCAAAACTGCATTTCCAAAATGCATGTCCAAAACTGCATAAGGAGCAAGCTGAGAAGCTATGGAGGCACCTATAGAAAGTGACTCTTGTGTTCATTTACACCTGAGCTCAAAAAAGATCTGGTACTCAACGGTACCTGTGAGGTGGATGTGGGAACAGTTTACAGAAAAAATAATTTTTAGCAAGACATGAAATACCTTTTGTTTTCATCATCATCATAACTATGGCAAGGATAAGCAACAAGTGGACTCTAATAGCAGATTTCAATGATGATTTTGCATGGAAAGAAGGAGAGATAGAAAGACCAACACAAAGACACAGAAACACAGAGGTGAATTCTTTTTCTCGAGTGTCTCCTTTAAAAGGAAGGCAATGGGAAGTGAAAGAAGTGTCTATGAAGTAAGACAAAGCCTTCAGTTATATGGCCAAATTTCTTGGTTTCATATGGTTTCCAGTGAAGCCAAGTTCAAAATGTCCTTGATCCATCAGAAAAACAAGAAAAAAAAATAACAACTCTGCCTGCCATAGATCTGTCACCACATACAACTGAGCATTCATTACTTTCCCTTGGTAGTAGGTTATAGAAAAAGGGTGTTGATTCATTAATACTTTGAATTAATTTTATCCCATCAACCCCCCTAAGCAGGCAGTAGAAGTTTGGCTATTGATATCAATGGAACTCAAATTTTGCCCATCACATTGATCAATCTACAGAGATATTTTTAACAGTACTCAATTCTGCACAAAAGAGATCTTTTCCAAGCTGAGACCCACCTCAAGAAGACACTTAAATGGAGCTGCAAATTTTAAGCATGTGTTGAAGCTCTAAGCGTTTGCCAGGAGGGAAACCATTCTCAGATGTATTCCTCAACAGGGATGAGCTTAAAAATGGACCACACTGCAGCCCTAAAATGGGATCCCCAAAAGTGATGGAAATTGGTTGAGTCAGGGACAGCTCTGCAAAGTTTCCCCTTGAACCACCCCAGTGATTCTGTATCTTTTTAAAATGAAGAGGAAAGAGATTTTGGAAGCTGTTCATATTCAGAGCTGGCTTCTAGCACAGTTGTCATACAGCTCTCTGCTCTCCAGACTGGAGAGAGCAACACACCATCTCTGGACCCGCTCTCAAATTTCCCTTCAAAGTGTCTGCTAGGGCAAGGATTCTGATTTTCTTGTCTGACTGATGTTTTGAAGGAAAAAAAAAAATCACTTTCCCGAGGCCATCTGGGGACTGCTATGAATTTTCAACAGCCATCCCTTTCAATGAAATCCTTACCTGCGGAGTGCCCAGCCTCTCTATTAAGGGAACCAGGTGAAGTGGGGCATACTTGGCTTCGAGACGCTTCATGCGCACCTCCAAGCGTTCTCCTTCTGTCAAGCGAGCAGCAAACAGTGAAATGAGAGGAGGAAGTGGAGACCCGCAATTTCCGCCGAGTGTGCTCAGAGCTGCCCCCCAGCAACCATCCAACGAGACTTTGGATCAGTGAGCCAAACCGACAGCAAATGAGGGAATCAGTGATGCAGAGAAGGGAGGGATGTGCGGTTGCAGTCTCAGCAGCAGCTTAATCACACATATCTAAAAGCATGTCCCTGTTACTCATCACTCCTGCTGAGACGGACATTTCATGCTGTCATTCTCCAAAGAGGCTGTGAAATGGCTTTACAACCTTAAGGGAACCCCCAAACTGACTAAGGTTTCAGTCTGTAACTAGGCTACAGAAAATGCACCCTTGGCACTTGTTTCCACCTGAATTTTGGCTATATCCACTTATCTATTTCAAGAGGGAAGCAGGGCCAGAAATAATCCTCAGCAGAAATGGGAGAGAAACAGCTTCTGGGTAGAGACCTCTGAGTCTGTCCACTGCTTCCCTCTTAGCTTCTTACCTTTGATGTAGACCCTGGGCAAAATATTTTGGAAGGGAGCAGCATGCAGCAAATCACAAACTTCTTCCTGGGACTGAGGCAGGAAGAAAGAAAGATAGCGTAAGTTAAAAAATACCTACAGGGGTTGAGTGTATGGCTCAGGGGCCTGGGCAACACTACAACAATTCATGTCTATGGCACCTATTCAAATCCAACCCAGCTCAGGAGTAACTTCAATGGTTTGAACCTAAACGAACTAAAATTGGAAGAAATACCTCTCAACTTAAGCCAGGGAGTTTTCTTAATTCAAATAAGTTACTTCCTTCCTGTACAAGGCCAGAGTTTTATATTTCTTCTGTCCCACTTGCTAGCACTGCAAGTAAGAGGGGATAAAGAACATGGAGGTTTCAGTTTCACCTTACCCTTGCTGTTTATTTTTACAGTGCCCAGGTGAAAATTACCCTTTGGCTTCATTATTTGAGGATGTGTACATGTAAAATATACTGATGCATGGCTCTATTACAAATAGGTACATAATACGTTGGTCTGAAATGTTATTTGGTTGTTCATTTGGTGTTCTCAGCCAGGGCTATCTGACCAGAATCCCAGTGGTGTAAGCACCAGGGAGAATAATATAGAAGTCCAGAGAGGAATAACATCATGAGATGCCACCTGAGAGAATGCATGCCGATGCACTTGAGAAAAAATAATCCCAAACACAGATGCACAAGGAGGAGAAACCTAGAAATAGGCAGGTGGAGACTGAGGAGCGATGGCTGACAATACATTGTATACAAGTCTGCAATGGGAAACAGCAGCAAGGAAACCAAAGCTGTTTAACACAGAGGCATTGCGTCACAACAAGGCATTAGTTTGCTCCTACAAAAGTCTAGTTCTAGGACATGCTTTGAGTTCTGAGCTTATTGTAGAGTTTTAGACACACTCGAAAGCAGGTCATGAGAGCGCAGCAGAAGATATTTGGGGGCCAGATGGAATGACTCAGCTGGGTCTCTTTGGGATGCACGGGTGGATACCCCACCTCCCAGCCAAGAGGGAGAGGACAGTGTAGCGTGGAGCTGCAGGAGGCTGTACTGGCGCATGGATGCTGGGATGAGAGCGAGTTTGTGGGAGTGCAGTTTGTGACACAGTGCTGGAGGGACTGGAACAGTCCGGGGTCCCTCTGTGGGCAGAGAGATGCTGATGCTGAGTGTGCCTATCATGTTTGCAAAACACCATTTGTTCCTAGATGAATGTTATTTCACTGCTGTTTCCCTCTGATAAAGGGAGTATTTTCAGCATTTGTAGCCTGCATTCATCTGATATCTGTCCCAAAATCAGTCATGTTATTAATAGATCTCCTCCCCAAGGCCCATTACCTGAGAGTAAGAATTCTGCTTAGAAATTTAATCCCAAGAAACTCCTCATTCCTCAAATTTAAACATTAAAAGGGAATAGAATGGATCAGACTGTGCATCTTCACTAAAGCAGTCTCTGCCAGCAAATACCACCAGTCTTAGATCATTTTGACAGCTATGAAGATAACTATGCTGTAAAAGCAATTGCTTCTGCTGCATAAGAGCTCCGTTAGAGGGAAAATCTTGTTATGTGATGGCTCTACACATCTGACATCTTCCAGTGAGCAACAACCTATGCCCACTGCATGCAAAATGGCTTCATATTCTGAATCTGTTTCTGTGTGGAAAAAACAGAGGATCAGAGAGGGAGAGCCTTTGACTGGCACAGAAAGTGGGCAGATGTGGACTTTGATGGGCAGCCTTCCTAAAGGGACCCTGAAATTCTCACCGTCTTCTTTTCTTTATTTTCTGCTATTCTAAAATGCCAGTATACTGCTGATGTACAGCTCCTGGGACTGGAGGAACATTTTTGCATCGAAATTAAGGATTTCTAAAAGAAACCACCAAGTCTCCATTTAAAGATGGGACAGAAAAAGCAAATGCAGTACATCCAGCATAAAATCCAACACCGAGAACAGCAGAAAGCAGTGATGAAGCCACAAAAGGAACAGAAACTGCCAGGGTATAGTTGGCAACTCTGGTCATTCTATAAAATAAAGCCAAGCTGCTAGGTGGTATGTATCTCTACAGTTTTCTTAATCCTACGCAACTACTGCTCACTGAATGTGTTTGATACACCATATTGGGAACTAAAAGTCTCTATATCTGGGGATAAAATGCAAAGGCAAGGGCAGAAATATCCATTTTAAGGACAGGCAGAGATCTTCAGTTTTCTCTGTGCTCTATGGTTGGATAAAACTTGGAATCTTTCAGCTTCCTTCTGGTTTTGCTCTGAATAAAACTTTCTGGCTTTGCTTGGCAACCCCATCTTATTCTAGGGAAGCCTTTCTGAAATATTTCTGGAAAAACCGCAACAACTCTGCCAAAACCATTATGACATGAAATACGCATTTTTCATGTAAAATTGTTGTTGAACACTCTTCAGTTGGTTCTAGGCCAAACTGTGAGATAAATTCATTACAAAATAAATTTATTGTGTGAAAAACTAGAAGCTAAGAAGATGGGTGGCACTCAGCCATAGCCTTTGCCCTGTTCCAGAAAGAGCATCACACAAGCTGAGAGGCTGAGAGACTTGTGCACATGCAAAATACTTGTGCAGTGGGCAATACCAAATCACCACTCCAGCTAAGTTTTCAGTGAAGTTAAGTCATAAGAAATATATCATCAGCAGCTCTTCTGAGATTTCTGTCCTGTGGAATTGCTTTATCCTTATCATCATTAGAGTCAATCAGGTTTTTTTTTTTCATTGCACTGACACCCCAAAAGAGCAAAGGGCTCAAAGCTACTTCTTTACAAATATATATATCAAAAAGTATTTATCCCTGCCCCAGAGAGCTTACAATCTAGAACTAAGCTCCAGCTGGTTTTATTTCTGAGAAAAGCAAACAAGGGGTAGCTTTGGGTCCAAGAATTAGATCTAGATCTTCCAGTATTCAGATTCTCCTTCAGCAATCCCAGATGTCAAGTGACCAAGTGCCAGTATACACCATCCCCATGGACATGCCCACAGACCCCAAAACCAGAAACCCTGAGCACGCAAGAAGCTGGAAAGTAACATTTCCCAAACTCTTCTGCTTGGAGAACCCACTTCCACTTATACTCTTGAGCTGGCAATTTCAAGTACCATCTGTTGGTGCAGGGGTTTTGCCTTACCAAAGCCTGCTCGATAAGGAGGCAGAAGAGAATGGCATTGCCCACTTCTCTGAGGCTCTGGAACACATCGGTCTTCAGCTCTGCATACTCAATGATGTCCTTCAGTTGATGGTGGAAAAACTCCAGGATTCCTTAAAAGATAAGGAAGGACAGTCAGAAAAGAGAGAGCAGAATCAGCCTCCAATAACTTGGATAAAAAGACAATCAGTGCCTGATATTTCCATAATCACAAATCACAAGCTGTAACTGCTAAACGGATAGGTGGAAACTGGCACTGGGGAGAACTAGCACGCAGTGTCTTACCCTGTTTTCAGTAACCCTTGGGAAATAGGGAGTAATTCATATGAAGTCCTTCAACTTCCTCATCAGAGGAAAAAAGAGGTTCAAGACTGTAATGAATATCTTGGTGCTGGCTCACATATACCAGCCAGAGTTTCCCCATCCGACTCAATGGCAGACTGCAGTCATGCTGCAAAAAATCTTTGCATCAACTAAGCAGAACTTTTGAAAATTATCAGTGAACCCACAACAACAAAATCTTACAAAATCCTGAAAACAAAACAGAAGATACCAGGAGATATTCTCTTATCAGCCATCTGTGTGTTCACAGGGAAACTTTCAACAGGAGATTTCCTGGAAAAGTTTTCTCTATGTGTTCCACTGTCAATAGTAAAGCAGGTGAAAGTGTGTCTCAGCAAGCCTGGCTGCATGTTGTGCTGGCAGGTCAGGTGCCAAACCTCATTTAATTATTAGTGTGTGCCTGAATAAATGCTGTACCAACACATGGGCAAGCTCTTGCTCAAGCATCTATCTGTAGCACCCACCTGGAGACCCATACTCATGTCTTGGCAAGCGGCATATCTTGGGCATTACTTCGATCAGAGTCTTCACATACTGCAGGATGGTGCCTTGTAGCTGTCAGAGAGAAAGGGAGGTTAAACTGGAATGACGGCTTCTCCTGGCATTGGTTTTGAAAGAGCCTGGTTGTGGATGGGTCCACATCTGACAGAACAGGATGAAACTTCAGCTGGAGTCCAAGAAGAACTTATTTAATTTGAATTTCACTCAAATATAAAATTCAGCCCAAGTGTATGGATTGAAGTGCTATTACAACTTCCTCAGAAATAATAAATCACAGTTGCATGGATTTTCAACTTCAAAATACAGCTTGCTGTGTTTGCATTGTTTGCAGCTGAAATCCAAACAAGGCTCAGTCTTAGAACCAGCTGGACTCGTGCTCTTAACCCAAAAAAGCATTTCACTAGAGCTGCTAAAAGAGTCATTCCCCTCCACAGGAAATGCTCCTTCCACCTGAGGATTCCTAGAATGATTCCTAGATACTCAAGAGTTTAAAAAAGAATTTAAAAGCATGTATAACAAGTTTCTGCAGATCCAGTGTTTTGAACTAATATGGACAAGAGCAAAGTCTATTTCTTAGTTAAAAGCACTTGCTGTCATTTGGACTATGCACCTGCATCCTGTATACATGATATGGGATTATGCACTAAAAACTATTTAGCCAAACATAAAATCTTTGTCTCTGTGCTGAATGCTCTCATCTTACACACCAGCTACAGCATTTTCAACTAAGTGACACAAATTACATCTTCTGTAGCTATGTTGCTTTCCAGTAGGGAAACTGGATATATGCTTGAGATTTTCAGTTTTACATTGCTTTGTTAGACAAATTCAAAATGATATAATTGCAGCCAAAACAGAATTTAAATATTTATAATGAATGAAAATCATCTTTCCAGTAAAGCAAGGGTTTTAGTAGAAAAGCATGACCTGAAAAATTATACATTTTTGCACATTCTCTCCTCCCTTCTTAATGCTCAGTATTGTCAGTGCCCTTAGGGAGCACATGGGATCATTTCCCTGTGGACATCACATTTCTCTTCTGAAAAAGAAGAGAGAACTAGAAAGCAGATAGAGCTATTGGCAGCCTGGCTTCAGAATGCCTGATGGAGATGGACAGTATGGCTCGAATAAGGGCTCACCTATAGCAGGAATTCTCTTATAAAGACTAAAAAAGTTGGTTTCAGCAGTTTTGCTGCCTGCTGTCTACCTCCCTGCAGCTCTCCAGGGGTATCACAAGGCAGTGAGCCAGAGTGCTCCTGTGCTATTACTGAGCATGAGCGCGTGCCTTGAAGGTCTCCCAGATTGCAGCACAGACAGTGCTGAGGGACTGTGAGTGCCACGTCCCACCCCATCTTTTCCCAGTGGCTTTTAGCAAAGCAACTCCACCACCCCCAGATACAGGCAGCTGATCACAGTTAACTCTTTAAGATGGTGGAAACACTCCATCATCCCACAGGAATCAGTGTGATTCCTCAGTGAAAATCAGATCGTTAATACAAGTGTTTCAGTGTGGATGAAGGGACATCAAGGTGCACAGATGTGAACACCCTGGACCCAGAGCCCAGGCTGACTGTCCAACCTGTGCCTCTCAAGGCACTGAGGTTTCTCCATCGCCAGGGTTAGGCTCAGAATTACCAGGCTTTTGACGATCTTCAACAGCTCTTCCATGACCACTGCGATGCCTTGATAGCCAAGAAGCCTGCAGATTGTCTTGAAATGAGGTGGCCCCACAAAATTGCGGTAGGAGCTATAGATGTGACTGTAGGCAATGTTGAGAGGCTGAGAAATTAAAAACACAATGACAGTTAGACAGGAGCATTTACCAGACCTGTAAGTAATTCTCTTATCACAGTACTATGTTCCATCACTTCAAATAATTTTTAAGGAAGAGAAGGAGAAATAATTATACCCATGACAATTCCCATTTCTTCTATTTCTTGAGGTAAAGAGGAGATTGCTCTTCTTCCTATGTAGTCAGATATATTCTAATCTCAACACACTGTCACGTCACCTTTATTATCCTGCTATGTAGCAACACCACTTTCATTTTCGAGGTAATTTACTCTCCCATACATTCCCAATCAAGGATTTCAGTTCACTGGCCCTTTGCTTCTTCAAACCCAAATTATTCTCTACTAAAATGAAAAGTTTTATGTACCAGTAACTAGATAGATTTTCCTTCTATGAGCACTTGCTTTAAATGAGGCTTATTAAGAAAAGTAGGCATTGCAGCATCTGAACATAAGAGCAGTTGGAAGAGACACAGAAAAGATCCTTTTTGCATCCTGCAATGCTCTACACCAACCTCTGTACTTAACAGACATTCCCATGGGACTGTGAAAAGGGCAAGAATCTAACCCTGGTCTAGGGAGAATAGCACCCAGGGCTCTGGCCTCCATAAATTTTTAGCAGCAGTAAACAGAAAGTGATTTCCAGGAATGTACTCTATCAGCATAAACTTGGAAATGTGGAAATTGCTGCAATGTTTTCTCACTGGATCATTTATAGGATCCATTTGGTGTGAGGGAAACAGAAGTAGGGGAAATTAATTCACTTGTGTGATCTGCAAAAATCAACCTGAAAATCATACTTAGCTGAGACACCACATGCTTGGCTCAGGCTCTGCAACAGAACTGTTGGCATCATGATTCAGCCCAGCAGAGATGGCCTGCAGTCTCCCCCCACAACATCTCTAACTGCAGCCTCAGTAAACAGCAAAAAAGCACATTCTTGAAAAGATCCTGGCATGTAGTGCCCCTTCCAGCAAAACACAGATAAACCCCCAGCTCATGCTTACCAAAAGATCTTTCTTAAACAAGGATAAGAAAACAAATTAAACTGTATCCCAAAGGGACGGTGCAAGGCTGACTTTGCTTCTTGTGTGAATGCTGCGTATTAGAGGCACGCTGTATCCTTGGGCAGCAAGGAGCTCGCTTCACCCTCTTCATAAGGAATACTTGGTAATAACATCCTAATCTGTACAGCTAGATGCAGGACTGTTGCTGAATATATTCTACTGTTGCTGGATATTTAATATGTCAAGCATTGGAACAAGTTGCCCAGGGAAGTGGTGGAATCACCATCCCTGGATGTATTTAAAAGACAGGTAGATGTGGCACTCAGGGACAGGGTTTAGAGGTGGACTTGGCAGTGTTAGGTTTATGGCTGGACTCAATGATCTTAAAGGTCTTTCCCAACCAGTAATGCAGCCAAGGGAGTGGAGGAACCAGTGCACTGAAGAGCTTAGGGTAAAAGGGAACAAGTGCTGATGTAGCACAACAGGATAAAATGGTGTCCATCCTCCAACACTTGCAGCTCTCCCCACTTGCAATACAGCCAGCTGAAGGCTTCAGTTGCCTCCAATTCTGACTCACTACCTCAAGATGTACTGTAACATTTCATTTGAGTTACTGATGAGTTACAAAGTGAAGAAGTCATTTGCTCGGAACCAGAAAAGTATTTTATTTTGTTCTCAGATACAGAATTTCAGTGGACTGGTGTATTGATCACGCTTTCACAGACTTGACAGTTGCTTTAATCAATTAATTCATTGTCCCTCATTTTGTTACAGCCCCACTGCTTCGGTCCAGCAGCTTATTGCCTAGTCTAATCCATAGGTGCTCTTTGAAAGAGCTAGCAGAAAGAAGGCACAGTTAGAAAGTCCCCTACTTTTGGTGAAATACAATTTCAACTCCTGGTCCTGGTGGGTGAAAAAAACCCTTTAGTACTATTATGCACAGAAAGGCTACCGTGGATGCTCTGTAGTGCATTCTTTCACAACAAGCATGAACTTTCTCTCCCATCAAAACTAAACAAAAGGGCCCTGAATAAGTGCAGGCAAGAATTTAAAAACTCTTTTGGCAGATAGAATCCTACTTTCAAAGCTCTTTGGGTGCCAACTCCTCTTAGGAGAACTGCTTTTGAGTATTCTGCTTAGGTTTGTGTCTCCATTGTTAGATAACCAAGTCTTTAAAAATCGATTTGGTAGAGGCTGATCCAAAGCCACTAGATACACACACTCATACATGTGAAAAAGAGCAATAGTTTGTTTTTTAAAGTGTGTCTGTTTAAACAAGGCCAGGTTGGATGGGGCTTTGAGCAACCTGGTCTAGTGGAAGGTGTCCCTGCTGATGGCAGGGGGGTTGGAACTGGATGATCTTTAAGGTCCCTTCCAACCCAAACCATTCTATGATTCCATGAAACACCAGGTGACATCCAGCTGTAATATTTGCCAAATGGCCGACACGATTATCCGAGAGGGAAGCCAGGAACCTCCTGTGGTGTTTTGTTCCTGTGGCTTTTGCAATGTGTCGTTGCCCTGAGATGGCCTCCCCGTAGGCTCCTTTACTCTGTTATTTCCCCATGGTTAGCAAACCGGTGGCTAGGGAGGAACTAAATATCCCCATTTCAGTGGGCTCATGAGCCCACACTCATTTGTGGAAGCGTCTTTGCTGCTCCACAGCTAGGAGCCAGGTCTTCAGCCTGTGCTTGTGCCGTGGTCCCTTGAGATGGGCCACCATCACTACCCAGTTTTGGAGCAACTGGTCTCCACAGATTTTCCCCATAATGGGGCTGACATTTCGCTGTACGGTCAGCGAGCGGCCAGTGTTGCCATGCAGCCGCCCACCTTGCAGCACTCCCTCACCTCTCAGCCAGATAATGGGGCGGGAGAGCAGCTTTCAAGCGGGCTTTTCCTTCAAGTGGGGGTCTCAGCAATAAGCCTGATTGTGAGAGGACACATTTTAGGACGTGCATTGGCTGCAGTTGAGCAGGATGATTCATCAAGCTCTCTGCAGAGCCACACAGTGCATTAGCAGCAGGCTTGTGTCTAATAATAATACTCTGCCAGCAATTAAAAATATAACTCCATTTAAGGGTGAGATACACAGCTTGGGGTAACGACTGTAGGATGTAAAAAATGACACCAGTGGATATTTTAAGACAAAACAGCTGAAGGTACAAGCTGGCTGCGTGGCATAGCTCACTCCCCCGCACGGGGTGGCCACTTCCACCCCCTCAGAGAGCAGAAGCAAAGCCCCTGGTCTCACCAACTCTTGAGAGGTTTTTCTGTTCTCAGGAGTAGCAGCTGCTGAAGACACTGTGGAAGGTTTGTCCCACCTTTGGTTTGGGGCCAAACAGGCAGGTTTGGAGTCTGAGAGTGCAGGTAGGCTGGGATTTGCAGCACAGGGCAGAGTTCCTGGTGTCCCACACAGCCCAAGTATCCCACCGTGTGCCCGGGTCTCAGGGACAGCCATCCGTACTTGGGACCATATGGGGTCCCCACATTGCTTTGGGAGTTCATGAGGTTACTAGGGATGCTCTAGAACAGATTCAGCAGCAAATGAAGCAAAACAAGAACCAGTTTCATTTCTACATCTTTGAGCTTGTTGTTGGCCATCACCCAGACCTGTCTGAGCTCACCTGAGGGAAGGCAGGGAGGGTTTTATCCAGTAAAGCAGATCAGAGAGAGATATAATAGACAGATAATACTGTCTGTGCCAGAATCTCTTTAGAAAAATGAAGAACTAAAAAAAAAAAGGAATACACTTAGAGGCAAAAAAAGACTTGCACACAGCCCAAGACTAGTCCAGGCTCACAGCCAACCTAACTTCAGTGTGACAGCTGAGATGGTGAAAAACAATTCTGACCAGAATTGTCAGAGAAGGCTGTCTAAAAAAGTCAGAGGCAGGTTTCTAAGTTGAACAGCCTGAATATGGCCTGGTTCCTTCCTCTGCCACAAGAGTGAAGGTTTTCACTCTCCATATAAAGCTTTTACTATATTCAGCTCTATCAGCTGGTTGCTAAGACTTTTGTGCAAAAAAAAAACCCCAACATATTCCTTAGCATTGGATGGACAGGACATGTGCCATGCAGCAGGTATGCTATATACTGTATTGAGACTGTGTCTGTGTATATTCTGTGTGTAGAGGCTGTGTCAGTATATATTCTGTGTCTCAGCATAATGCCTCGTTGTACCAACTGCCTTTTTCAGGGACTGTACACACTGCTATCATTTACAACAAGCTGATGGCCACGGAAAGCCAGGTAGCACAGCCCATGCAGCTGGTTGGAGGGGATCAGCAGCCCCCACTGCCAACACCTCCCGCACCAACCACAGCTCCTTAACGCCTTTGTGCTCTTGCTGCAGACACAGCAGCAGAAAATAGAGTGGCTCCATCCCGTTCACACACCGTAACTATTTTTACAAGTGCCAGCAGCGTGCACTGTCCTTCAGGTTACATCTGCCTGCACACTCGTTAAAAAAGGGGGAGCAAATTCAACCAGGGAAAGGGAAATAGGGATTTCCAGCGAGTCTGGCATGACCCTGGGTCCAGCAGTGCCAAGAAAAACAGACACACTCATGAAAATACATAAATGAAGCCCAATCTAAAGCATTTGCAGAGCTAACGAGCAGTAAGTAGTGGGTTGCTGGTAATTTTGCAGCTTCTTTATCACAGACTTGGCAACCTGCTGTGTTTTATAAGTGGCTGAATAGCAGAAAATGGCTCGGTTTCTGCTGGCCACTGGAGCATGCCCAGGGTTTGCATCCTATGGTGAGGAGCAAGGGGTCTCAGGCAGGGCCACAGCCAGGTCCACCTACAGATATGGGGAACAGCAGTGCTGGAGCAGTCCTGGCACTGGCATGGTATCGGTGTCTCATCTTGGGAAATGATGATTTCAAGCTCTTTACCTGTGTAAACTAGTGCAAGCTTGATTTTGGGAGGAGGTAACACTAACACCACTGAAAGCTTTGCTGCAGTTTCCTTTGAGCTAGTGGGACTGATCACTGCATGGAGCAAGGTCAGCAGGACCCTTTGCTAACCTAATCCAGCTATTCCCATTTTCCTCCTTTTCCTCTCTTCCTGTTAACACATCTTATTTGTGAACAACTGAAATTTAATTTTGAAGCAACTGAAAATGCTGATAAATTCAACAACCCAAATGCAGTAAGAAAGCAGTTTTCTCATCCAGTTGTTACCATTTTGTGTAATTCACCTTTCTGAAGCCCAGATTTGTATCCCCAGCTCTCTCCCTGCAGGCAAGGATGTACTTTACCCACAGCACGGGGCCAGCTAAGAGCTCTCTATCTCCCTGCTCTTGTTAAGTAGGACCAAGCCATGTAAAAAGCAGGAAGCCACCTGGGAACATTTTCATTTCCATCCCTGCCCATGATGATTTTAATCTTTGCTCCTAGTTTTCAGCTTGCTGGCAGCTGCAGCTCACTCACAGAGACAGAAGGGAATACAGATCTTGGAAGACAAAATCAAAACATCCAGAACTGCATAAAATAAATCAAAAGCAAGGGCCACAAATACTCCCTAGGCTTGTAATAGTCCCTCCTAATGCAGTTTGCATCATCTCATCACTGTTGATATTTAGAAGATCTTTGAAATGCTGCAAGCACCTTTCCAGCAACAACATGGAATAAGTAACTCCAGACAACCCAGCATTAACATTTCTACTGGGAAACTTCCTCTCTCAAACACATTTTGGTTTCAGAGAGCAGCAAGTCACTTGTTCAGAGCCTCTCCTAACCAGGCCCAGTGCCACATCTGTCCCCAGTGCCACTTCTGACCCCCCTGGCCACAGACTCAGGCTGATCCCCTGAATGTGCTGGCGCTGGCTTTGCCTCTCCCTCTTGCCCTCTTTCCAGACTGATGGGACATCCCCAAGTCACCTGTAAGGCAGGGGCATTCAAAGAATAGCCTGTCTTAATCACATGGGAGTTCAGGAGGAGGTTGAGGTCTTTGAAAACCCAGTTTCTACTACCACACAGCTTAGAAAAAAATTAAAAAGCTAACAGATATTGCTGCAGCATCAGGGATGAAGCTCTACTGCTCACTGGCTTTAGTTTAAATCAGTAGTTTAAATGTGCAAGAAATCGTAGCATTAAAGACAAAGCCCTTGGGTGCTAAACTCAATGGGAACTGCAGGTCAGGATCCTGTATTTCATACCATGTGCCAACGTGTCTCTAACCCCAGACACTGCTGGGGGACAGTGATGGTCTTGCTGGGTTCTGTGGACCAGGGAGAAAAACAAAAACCCCAACCAACCTAAACAAAACTACCTGGCTTGTTTTTTTCCTCCTCAGAGACACATACTGCTCCGAGGCAAAAGCTTTTAGGGATAACATCCCAAATCACTCTGAAGTGCCTGCCCATCCTTTCTCATTGGTTGCTATGGTGAGAGATGACGGAGCCCTGGATGGGTATAATACAAGGCAGCACACAAGGAAGGGATTTAGCAGAGGCAGGAGGGAGGTGAGCGGTGGGAAGAGGGGAAGGCACTGCTCACCCTGCTGCTCACCAGCACCGACCGGCCACCTCGGACCTGCCTGGGGAGGTAAGTGGCTGCTGGCGGCTCTGGGAGGGCTTGGTGGTGGGTGTGCATGTGGCTCTGCTCATCATGTCAGGATGGTTAAAACAGTCGTTGAGATGAGCTGATTTTTGAGTGAATTAAAGGAAAGTTAGTTATATTAAAAGAGAGAGGAAGAAGGAAAAAAAATAAACTGGTTCTGTTGCTCTTGTTCAGTGCACTCGGCCAGCTGGGAGAGAGAACCCTGCAAAGAAGCTCAGAGAGCACTGGGGGGAATCTAAAGGCGTGATGAACTAAAGAGATTCATGGCTGTTGCTGAACAGCAATTTGTTAGCAGTCAGTGTCTTTTACGCGGGGAAGACCTTTGTACTTATTATTCATATATCTGTATTTCCCTAAAAGCCTTGATTTTATATTTCACCAGTCTTCAGATTTCACATTTAAGATCCTGATATTACCGCATGAGATGCTGTAGGAACAAAAAGAGTTTATACTCTATTAAGCAACAAGTTAGGTACAGAATATGCAGCCAACAGCTTAAACCAGTGAATTAATCATTATGCATCTTTTAAAATGGCATTTAGGTGTAAAATCAAAGTTTCTATTGAAAGCTCCACAAGGCAAGCTGGAGCTAGTTTAATGATCAGTTTATGTTATAGCACTTGCAGTATCCTTTCTATTTCATGGGAAACAAAAAAACTCAAAAAGCTTCTTATATAGACAAACAGTCAACAAGAAGAGATTGTTTAAAAATCTAACTAGAATATAAAGTGTGCCCTATATCCCATGTGGGGGTTTTTTTGTTATGAAGCATGGTGATACAGTGGTCTGGGCACTAGCAGGATTCATCCTTTGTAATTTTAGCCATCTAAGACCTAGAATCTAAACTAGGCTCACCAGGTGTAGTTCTGGGTCCAGTCTAAGGGCCAGTAAAGCCAGTGGAAAGACTTCACTGATGTCAGTGGTCTTTGAGCCTGTACACAAATTGGGAAACTCAGCCTCTCCCTGCATCTAGTTTCAGGAGCATGATGAACATCGAAGTGCACAACATCACTTACACCAGTGCCACTGTCTCCTGGGCCATGAACAACCCCTGTCCAGAGAACTACTACCACGTCATGTACCGCCCCAACTGGAACAGCGTCTTCGCCGGCTATTTACGCCAAAACTTCCACCGCGAGGAGCGAGTTCCTCACCCCCTCAGCTCCCTTGTACTCCACCAACTCACGCCGTCCACCATCTACATCCTCTGCATCACATGCAAGAGCTCTTACCCCTCTGGCAACCACTGCACCACGTTCCACACTCTGGACAAAACCCCCCTGGTTTTTGGTGGCTCTAAGCGTGAACCTACCACCTCTATATGGATGGTGAGCAGCCTGCTGCTCCTCTGCTTCATTGCTCTCCTGGCTTATGGCTGCCTGCAGTTGTGGTCTGCACGGTGCCACCGGGCTGCAAGGCTGAAGCATCCTGACACCATCCCTGAGGAAGCGGGTGAAAGGAGCAGCTCACCAGAAGGGCCGCTGAGTGATGGACTGAGAGAGGAGCTTCTGGAAGTCCCCATGACCACTGTGCTAATGAGGAGCTCCAGTTTCATGAGAGAGAGTCCATATAGTTCCCCTCACTGTTTTTTTTCCTATAAAAATAGCGACGATAAAAGGGCCATCTTGCCGCAGCACAGCTTTCAATGAGAGCAAAACAAAGGTTTAGCGGTTAGGTTCATGCTGCTCTTTCCCAGCTCTTGCCAACAGGACTGTCTATGTGTCCACAGGGGCCGTTTGTCCCAGGGTAGAACAAGAGGTGGGGACATTGGTCACAGGGAGAAAGATTTTTGTCAAGTGAGAAAAATACTCTCATTTGCTGAGGGTTTTTGAAAAAGAAACCAAATCAGCTCTCTGGGAATGGCCAGGCTTGGCTGACTGTAGTGACATTAGCTAGTCTGCATCAGTGCTGTAGGTTCACTTCAGAGTCATGGATCAACGTGCACAAGAAATAAACTCCACTCAAGTGGTTTCACACTTGAGTGATCCTCCACTAGCATCACACCCCAAGCCCTCATGACGCCTGTATAAACAGTCATCACAGCCTGACAAAAGAGCTTTTTGTCAGTATAAGTAGTCTATATTGGCACACAAGAGTATGTTACCAATTCCCATTTTGAACTACAAATGGGATTCCTGAAGCAGTACCTTCCTTGGGGAGCTCCAACTCATTCTGCTCTTTATGCATTTCAATGGATGTGACTTGGTCTCAGCGCCAACACCAAGCAGAGAGTGGTGTCAGCATCCCCTAATATAGGCATGTTCTAGATAAGAATAAGGGAAAGCAATAGCAAAAGCACACTGAATCTGCTTCTTGCATGGCTTTTTGGTTTCACACAGCAACGTGACCCTGCATATTTGCATCCACCATTCTGTTAATGAACCAGTTCTTGAGTTTCTTTCTAAATAAATAAATACTTCCACCATCCACCCCTTCTGGCTGTTGTGGCTCATTTACTGACCTTGGATCCGTAGAGGTAATACGGCTGCACGTTGGCTGGCTTGTCCCGCTGGGGTTCCTGTGTGAAGGGGATTGCTGTCCTCACGAACCTGTGATGGGCATGGGAGATGGGGAGGAAAGTGGCCAGAGCTCAATTAACAGTGTTGAGCACAGATATGGCACAGTCTGGGATGAACTGCAGTTACAGACTAATTAGCAATTCAATCTGAGCTACATGAACTGGAATGCAAACTCCTGCTCCAATCTATTGGTGGTGTAAAATGTCAGTTTAACCTACCAAAGGTGAGGTTTCTTCTCATTTGGGGCAAGCGAGAAAGCCATATAGGAGCAGCTACCACAGCTCTGCTGCTCAGTAAACAAACCCTCTAAGCCAAAGTGCAGCTCAGTTGCTGCAATCACTGTCTAACTGTCGCTTGAATTGGTTACTAACATTTTCAAAGCCAAGGGGAGCTGGTGGGCTTTAACTTCATTTTAAATGTAATTGTAGAATCCCATAGGGAATGCAAACCTCACCGCAATGCATGTGAATTTTATGTGGCAGGTTTGACAGTTTGGAAAGAAAAGCAGGGTCCCCGGGTGCCCCCTGCCTTGCTTTTCCTCCTCACCTGTTGGTGGATCCATTGTAGCAATAATTAGGTAGAAAGTCAAAATTGAGCTCCCAGAAGACATGGAGGGTGATGCGCCCATAGGGTGCGGAGACGTTGTGGTTGGCCTCCCGGAACATGGCATCAAAGCTGTCCAAAGTCATGTGCTTGCACAGCAACCTGTGAGTCAGGCGATTTATTTCCAAAAGCCACTCAAGCTCCTGCAGCACATAAAGCAGCAGCAAATGCAACATATTACCAAGATGACAATAGAAGCAGCTGATTTAATTGCCAGGGGAATTAATTTACATCCACATCCACACAGAATTTTCCAGGTGAGGATGCAGCAAATGCTGAAGACATCAATTTAACTCAGTGGCTGAGGCCAATTGCACTTCTACTCAAGGGGGTCCTGGTCTAGTATCTCCTAACCTTGCATGAAGCAAAATTAGTTTGTTTCCCACTGAGCACTGGCTGGCTTTCACATCACAATCCTTTAAAGGTGGAAACTGGTAATTTTACACTACTTGACTCTGATGCTCCTGTAATATATCAAAGGCAGCAAATCCTGTACACAGGCAAACAATGTCTCAGCCACCTTCAGACAGCAGTGGGAATTAAAGTGAAGATTCCTTCTTCCAGATCACAGGACTCTCTTACATGAACTATGCAAAATCTAACTGCTGACTGTCTCCTTATGATTTATGCAGATACTTAATGGTCCAATAATAATGCAATTAAAGCTGCATAAATAGAAATAGTAGAGACTCAGAAGCATAAAGGTGGCTGGCTGAAACCTACTGTAGGTGGGACTTGAAGCAGAAGACAGCTGACTGTGTATCCATAGCAGTATGTTATTCTTTTTATTCATACTTGAAACAGTTCTTACCACAATGGATGTCAGGTCCTCGCTCTCAAAGCGGCTAATGGCCTGGTCTAATGATTTGTACATCGCTGCTGAGATGCGCTGGGTAATAAGCCTGTTCAGATCAATTGATCTACCCAGCAACTGGGAAAAGAAGAGACGATATTTGCATGTTATACACAGATCAGGAAAAAGTACTTTTTTTTTAAATTATTTTTTTTCCAAACAAACAGAAATTAAAACCAAACATCCAAGTCTGCTTAAATGTGAAAGTGGCAATGGAAACGCCTTGGCTGAGTTTACCATTACTTAAGAGGGAAGGAAGGAAACGTGGAGCATAACTCATTTTCCCTCAGGCCCCACACCCTGAGTGTGGTAGTGTCAGAAACAGGCTCAATCCTTCTCATTCCAGCACCAACCTTGACAGCCCAGCACTAGGATGCCAGCCACCAACAAAAGGATAATAGACTGAGAGCTATGAGTACTGGAGTCTACTGCCTGCACTGTACCTGGACATGCCTCTGCTTGAGCAGTGTTTCATAGCGGTTGGATGGTGGGTATGGAATGATCACCCCGTAATTCTTACATTCAGCCCGGAAACGTTTGTCCAATAAAACACTGAAAAAGGGAAGCAGCGTCAGAAAAAAAGAAACATACAGTATCAACTTATCTCTGGATCTTTTCCAGCATTGTTTTCATGCTTCTTTTCATCTTGCTCAAAATGCCAAGAAATTTCCACACACTAACAACTCTGTTTTCACTACTAAATCACTCTGCAGAAGTTCTACAGTCTGCTGGTCTGATGTGTGACCTAAGATCCTCTGTACTCTTCTGGCCATTACAAGTCCTGCTAGGGTATAGACAAGTGCATGTTCTTGTTCCTTAGAGATGGGAAGCTTCCACTCCTGGTACACAAACAGAAGTCAGGCAAGGCTATGTCTTCAATAGGCTTGGTTTGCTTTTCTGCTACTCTCACAAATTGTACCCAGACAGCTACTTAGGATGCTAACCATTATTTTCACTTTTAACCATGTCTTCTTGCCACCATTAATTCATTTTCCCTATCTACACTGGTCTGACATGGACAGCCAGCTCTGTGATACAGGGATCACTTATTTTGTTATGTCTACATGCAGCGACTACTCCCTCAGGGGAACCTTCTAGTTAACAGCAATTTGGATGCATCACTCATCATCAGCAGTCAGGTTCTCCTACCTTCCAGCCATTGCTTTATAATAGGCAAAGATCTGATCTGCCAGCTTGTACACAAATTGATCAAAGCACAAATTCACCTGGGGAAGAAAAAACAAGACATCGTGAGGTGGTCACCAGCACAGAGCAGCTCCTTCCTATGCATGCAAGATTAATCCAACTCAACACAGAGCTCTAATGTAATACATACATGTATGTCACACTATCTAAAAACCGCACTGCAGTTCTCACATGCGACAGGTAAGCAGAAAATTGCAGTTACATTTCTCTCTTACAGTTTCTGCACGTTCTTACAGGTCTTGGTCCCCCACCCTCAATCATCATTCCCTCTCAGGCATCTCCAGTTTCTCATTTTCCTCTGATGTCTCATAACGCTCTGCCCATCAGACATGCCTCCAGTGTCTGGCAGCCTTTGGCTTCCACCATTCCCCATGAGCACAGCTGAGCTGAAGCCCTCCATCATCAGAGCCTGTAAGCTCTCTGGAAACAGTAAAAACTTCTCAGTCTGACGGCATATTTTTTCAGGAGATGCTTATAACAAATTCACTGAACTGCTGGGTGGGGCTGTCAAACAGGGAAATGTGACCCCAGTGAGCTCTTTCCATACAGTAAAGATGAAGAGGACTTACTTCAGCTTCAATTTCGTCGTATAGGAACTGCTTTTTGAATTTGGTCAAGGCATAGTATGCACTGTCATTATAGAGGTCCAAGGGGTACAGTACGTACCTGAGGGCAAGAAGACAGATCATGTCTTAAATTAACTTTGGAGCATACCAGTGTAAACGGCAGCCAGTGCACATACCCTGCTTGGTGAAAAAAATGGCCTTTCTCTGATTTCACTCCTACCACCTTCACTCCCTCAGCCCCTCAAATACTCCCTCTCACTCGTTGTGTCCTGCTGGAAGCAGGTAGAACAGATCTGGATTTGTGCTGTGACTTGTTCAATCACCACTTGCTCCTTCTCTGCCCTTAGAAAAGCTTTCATCGTGCCCTCGCTCCACAGAGTGCTCTGACAATGGCCATAAAATGGAAAACAAAGTTTTCCTAATGAGGAAGATATTACGAACATAATTACACTTGCATAACAGTGATTCCTCTCATTTATCATGTATATTTTAAAAAAGTGTTTAGGTGCCTTAGCCAGGGCCCACATCCCTTTGGTTGCACAAGCTGTCCAACTGCTGCATGCAGATGACGGTACCACCGAGTTGTGCCCGCATCTGAATCGCGCAGTTGCCAACTGCTGGTTTATGATGCATAAGTGCGTGACAGTGCCAGGAAGCAGCCCGTGTGTGTCTGCTAACGAGGTATTCATACAGCACACATTCATGTGACAGCAAGTCAAGAAACATCTATTTTTTTCCTCCCACGTCAAAAAAAGACTGTTCATCACCAGCCTACCCTTCTGCAAAACAAAACCCCAAGCCCCAGCCCATGCACAGTCCCGCCGCAGCCCATCGGCTCTTACTCCATCATGGAGGGTTCTTTGGTCTCCAGAATATGGTCCGTGAGGATCCAGGGCATGGACATTTCGATGGGGAACTGGATGCGGCGGCCCATGGTCAGCTCCAGGAAGAATTCCCGGAACCAGAGCTGGGACAGGTCACAGCACTGCTGCAGCGCTTCTGAAAGGCAGAGGAGATCCCCCCAGCAGGAGGGCACCCACGTTACCCCCACGGGGACGGCAGCGAGGGAAATGCACAGGAGGCAGCTGCTGCCGCCTCAGATTAGACTGGTTTTGGGTATGGAATGTTTTTTCTAGGATGTCTCTATTTTTAAACCCAGACCATGTCCATGCTGTCTGAGCACTCTGTAATGAAAGAGGAAAGAAGGGATGGTTCCTTTTGCTCTTCAACTCCAGGGAGAACATTTCAATGGCTCAGAATTATTTTGGAAGATTTCTTCTGTGCCCAGTGGCTCAGAAGTTTGTCTGGGATGAAAAGAAAACTCCAGTCGTAGAAACTAAACTACCACTTATAACTATTTGCTATTGCTGACTCATTCATGTTCACATAATGATTACTGCCCAGAAACACACCTGAATCGGGGAGAAGTAGAACATTTGGGAAAAATCAAGGAAAATCTTCTGCATCAGTCAATGAGGAGCAAAGATGATCTACCTTTGCCTGCCTGAACATACAAGAGTTGGATTCAAGCCTCCCCCTGCCACAACCTCACCACTGATGTTGAGAAGGTGGGTGAAGAAGAAGGACTGCTTGTGGAACTCCTCAATGGCCAAGACTATTGGCCCATCCAAGCTGCTCCTCAGAGTCTTCTTTGAGCCACTCTTGTCTGCAATGAGGGACTCCAGCATGGTCCGCACCATGTAAAGCTTTGGAAGAAAGTTAACATGCAGTTACCACTCTGCAGTTAGACACCACCAGACACAGCCATGGTGTTCTGCAACAAAATTAACACTTCTCCCAGGTGGCTACTACTCTCTGCACCCATAAGCCACCATCATTCTGAGCTAGAAATAATTACACCCCTAAAAAAGGAGGCTTTGGGAACTATACAACGAACTAGGCACCAAAGCAACATTTAACAACAATAGTGTGACTACTTCGTGGAAGAGACCACAGAAACAGCTGCTAATCCACTGGATGGAGGACTCCTACATGGCTGTAAGGCCATTAAAGCCCTTCACAAGAGATGAAGATTTACATACCTGGGTACTTGATGGTCCTACTGCTCGTCGTGGGACTTTAATATCAAATCCACCTTTAGGATCCTTCTCACCTCTCAGACAAGGATCATTTGGAGGCTCTCTACCTCCCTCCCAGTCACAGATTGTCTTCCGAATTGCCTGAAGGACACTGGAGTGGGTGGGACAGGGAAAGTAGTGCTTAAGCTTGATTATACTTCAAGATTAAAATATACACTGCTGCACAAATATGGGAGGAAAAGTATCTGAGATGGGGATATACACTGTCATTACTGGGGGAGTCCTGCCCAAAAGTTACCTTGGATAGAGCTGCTGGTCAAGGTATGTTGGCTGGTTGTATACCCAGAGGTGTTTGCAGGGCCACATGCTTATATAGTCCAAATGTGTTACACAAATAAATACATGGGCTTTGCATGACATTCGAGAAGGACAGACTGACCTGATCAGAACGTTCTTCTTCTTCCGGACTGCCTGCCTGAGCGGCTCGCGCAGGGTGACCTGGGCAAAGTCCTGCAGGGCTGCATAGATGGTGTTGCGGATGGCTTGGTTAAAGACACTCTCCATCCGGCCCATCAGCACTTGAAGACCTTTGATCATGGCAATTACCTAAAACGAAAATTAAAATCAGATGTATTTGCTATTTTTGCATTGTATGAAGAGGTCCATAAATCCAACATTAAGAGAATTTGGGACTAAATTAATTCTAGTCAAGTAACTTAAGTCCAATAATTAGGTGGCTAATTTTTTTTCATTGTAGCTGCTTGATAGATCACAAGCTGAGGAGAGCATTTACACCACCAGTTTATTGCAAATGGTCCCCGTCCCTTGGCAGGCTCTGCTTCCACTCCTGATCTCTTGGTATCTTTAATAACACACAATTCCAGGAAACCACACATGCTCCACACATGGGTGCAGCTGCACAACTTGCACAGACCTACATCCGCGCCAGGGCACAGTCTTCCTTGTACAAGAGCACAGTGACAATCCCCAGCAGGGAGTGAGCCACAAAAATGAAGGCAATATTCAAACCACCTTGGGCTGTGTAAGGCAAGATGAAGGTGTGAAGGCTTCCCACAGCCAGGCTTGGAGGACTATTCCCACTGTCTACAGACAGCCAGACTGAGAGTTTATGGGTCCTGGGGACTGGCTGAAGATCTGTGTTTGCACAGCACCGGAATGTAACTCCTGATCTTGCTCCATGCTGCTCTGCAAACCCATGCCTCCTATTTTTTTTTCAGGAGCCCAGAACTCCCTTTTCAGGTCAGGAGAGGCTTAATACAGCAATATTAAGAAAACACAGGGATTCACCTCTGTCTTTCTTCAGCAGACAAGCAGAGCATAAGGGGAATAGGATCAGGAAAACAGAGGAGAATTGCTCTCATCATGCACTGGTGCAGTGTTTCTATCCCAGTAGGAGCTCCTAAGAACTCAATTTGCCCCTTAGTTCTGGGCAAACTAAGGGCCACAGGGATGTGGGAACCCTTAATCCCTTGACATGGGCCACAGGGATGAGGAACTGGCTGAGAATGGCGAGATGCTCTTCCCTTCTCTTCCCCTGACCTGAGGAATACAGACAGGAAACCAGCCCTGGCTGGTTCTTACTCTTGTGCAGTTGGTACCCACCTCCACAAAAGCAAATTTCTCTTCACTGGTGTAGTTGTACCGGGTGGCTCTCTCATATTCTTCTGCTGTTCCTGGGCAGTCCTTGTTACAGAATTTATCTGTAGGATGAACCAGCTTCCAAGAGTACTAGAAGATGGAAAGAGACACTGTCAATGTTGCAATGAGTAAGAAGCCACGCTGGAAAGACTGAAGAGGGCCCTATGCCAGGAAAACACTCCCTAGACATTACTACAGTTGTTTAACATGCCTTTGGGAGCAGAATTTATGCTTCTTACTGGCTTTATTATCACTGTATTGAATATTGGTTTTGTTCATTTCGGAGGTTGCCAGTCATATTGGGCTTTTGACATCCATGGACTTGTGTTGAGATGGGTGGAAATTTTCCAAATTAAGAATTTCTATCATAATCTGAATTACAGTTTTAGTTGCTCAAGACCCAGACTCATCCCAAACAGCTTTCAGTACTTAACCAAGTTGTTCAGGTTAGGAGAACAGTCACCCAGTCTCCCTCTAACATCAGTGGGGAGACCTCAGCACCTGCAAAGATCAGGTCCAGGGTGAGATGATCGTAGAATCATAGAATGGTATGGGTTGGAAGGGACCTTAAAGATCATCTAGTTCCAGCCCCCATGCCATGAGCAGGGACACCTTCCACTAGACCAGGTTGCTCAAAGCCTCGTCCAACCAAGCTCTCTTTCTCCATTTGTTGCAGAGGGTGTTCAGGGTCATTAGCTGCCCGATCTTAACATGTTTGTTAATTGCTTAAAGTTAGGTGGCATGAAAGCAAGTTCACTTTTCCACGGTCTTTGTTACATGCCATGTTAAAATGCTCACGTTTATCTGGGAAGCGGAGGACATTACAACTCATCGCTTCCATGGATGCACTCACCACTTCCATGACGTGGGCACTCCACTTGGACAGCAGCTGAAGTCCCCGTAAAGCGAGATCAAAGAGCTCCCTATACTCTTCATCTGATTTCTGGCTGTCCAGTCCTGAGCCAGTGACCACCTAGAGAACACCACATCACGTCAGGACTAGACTCAGCAACTTGCTGCAGAGGTTTCACTGAGCCAAACAGCAGCCACAGATCCATCTCTCAAATCCCACCTGAAATGAATTCTCTGTGACTTTACAATCAAGCTAAAATTGAGCATGGTAATATATTGTCCCTCAGGAAAAGGGACAATTTATTTTCCATGGAAAAATGAGTCTGACCTGTCACCTCAGAGCAAAAACCTGACTCTTTTCATTCCACCTTCCCATTCCTTTTTGATGGTCTAATACTACTGAAATCCTTGAGAGTCCTTTACTGGTTTAAAGCTCAAATAAGCACTTACAAATGCCAAAAAGAAAAGGGGTGAGAATGCTAACAATTCATTAAACTAACACTGGTGAATGAGGATCACCCATTCACAAAAACCAGTCACAATGGCATCAGAGAGGGCGCTGGCATTCAGTAATGAAAAGAACAGAGATGCCCTCATGAACTTTCCTTGAAGGAAGTTCCTGACCAATAGCTCTGTGTAATAGAAAAGATGCATTTGCAAGTCAAGGGTGTTCTGCCACCTGGCCGATAATAAACATTTAACTGCAAAATTTTTTCTGCTTCTTATTTTAATGAAGCTGTGGCCAAAGAGCAGAAGCTGTTGCAGCAGATCTTCTGGTGCACATGATTTCACATGATTTTGCACCTGCAGGGGACTTCTGTAATTTGCTTTTTTATTGCTGGATTAAGAAGTGGTTTGTTCCATTTGTGTCCTTCTTTCCTCCTCACTGTACATCCTTGGCAGACCATACTGCTGCCACATTTGTCCTCTCCCACCCTCATCCATCTAATGAGCCTGATTACAGTGACTACATGCTGAGCTTACCTCGCTGTTGCTGTAGCGAGCGAGCTCTGAGATGAAGCGGATGTGGTCATCTCGAATCTGGACCATCTGCTCACAGATGTTGTACTGGGGACTTATGCTGCTCTGAGTGCATGTCCACCTGGGCAAAAAAAGTAAAGGTTTCAATGACAGTACATGGGGCTCCACTCAGACACCCCCAGGGACAAAGCCTTGCACTCAACTGCTCTCTTCAACATGCTCAAGACATGTCACCTTCAGGGCAAACGTCAGCCTGTGTCATCTCTCTCATGTCCCCTGGTGTGTGGGGTCTTCCAGAGGTGGTCTCACATAGCATGATGGGGACACTTGCCTCACCTTTCAGCCTGAACACCTCTGTTCCATCCACCCTGAAGGCTGCTCTCCATGTTGGACTCACCTACCCCCACGGGCAGAGATGGCTGTTTACCAGGCCGCTGTTGGACAAATTTTCAGGGAGGGATGAACTGCAAAGACCTGGCATTGTTTGCAGCCTTTCTGTTAAACCTAAGGATAATCATCCCTTCGACATCATCCCTCCAGGTCTGAAATGGCAGGGTCATGTTGCCTTCTCTTGCCAGGAAAGACTCTGCAAGGGGCCAGCAAAGGAATATCCCTCCCACTCTGTTTTTGGTCCTGGCTCACACTACAAGCTCAGTGAACAACCCTGAGTATAAATATGATTAAATGAACTACATTTTAATTTGCATTGAGCCACATGTACAATGTAACAGTGTAATGACATCCTAAAAGAAGGCAGAGCTACCCTTCAAAAAGCACTGTCATATGAAGAAATGGTGAACCAAGTCTATTTTATTTAATATCTCCATATGCCGCATTCTGTATTAACCACAGAAGTAGAACCAGAATGGCTCCACCAAAACGCCTTTGCAAGCAAATGTCAATCAGTGAGAACTCTCATGTCCTACTTTGTCACCACAATGTAAAAGTTCAGATCTTGCTTTTCTTTCTCCCTAAACAGTTGTCCATTTTATGATAGTTATCTTCTCCAATCTAGATTGGCTGTACAAAAGGAAGGTGAGAAACCTGCCTCTGATATGGACATAGACATGAAGACATATTCCTACAGTTAACTGCGAGGCACTTGTTGCCAGTACTTGTGGTGGTAGAAGGTCCTGGAAGCGTTGGGCCATGTCATCCCCTGTGAAATCCAACCTCCCACAGTCCCATCACTCGACTCTTACCCGTTTCAATGTCCTGTGCTCCCCACCGGACAATCGGCAGGTTAG